CGATTACGAGAGAGACGTCAAAGCTTACATCCGAGGAACCCGTCGAGATGAACGATATGTATGCGGCCCTCGTTTGTGGAGACGACTGGAAGGTCGAGCACGACAAGCAGCCAAGGATGTGGACTGGGACCGCATTGAGAGAGACGACGGTGCAGCTGAGCTACTGCGACACATTCGTGCCAAGCTCGGAGCTCAGCCCATCCAGGATGCAGGCAAATATCTGGCCCGATGGATCTTCGATCTTCGTCGAGACACTGGAGAGCCAATGCCGAGCTATATAAGCAGAGACGATGAGGCCTACCACGACGTGGTCAAGGGTTTCGACACCGAGTATTTCAAGAAGCAGCGCACGGCCCGGCTGTCGGAAAGGTCAAAGGAGTGGAACACCCTCTACTCGGAGCTCAACTGGTTCTTGTACAAGATCGAGCAGGAGGGCCCGGAGGACGCCGCCGACAAGGCCAAGGAGTTGAACTACCAGCTCTGGAACTTCATCAAGACTGGACTTGAGGAGATCCCCGAGCATCCAGATTTCGGAGCCGACTTCAACCAGGCGATTCCTCTTGACCAGCTGCGCGGATGGCTACTGCTGCAGAGATCAAGACTTTCCCCGACGGAGCGTGCGGCAGTTATCAGCGCAGTCAAAGGCAACTTCGACTACGACAGCATCGGCGAGCAGCTAAGAGTATCTTGGCCAGATGACGAGCTGACGAACAGAGATAAGAAGCACGGCAAGGACAACCATCGCCATCGCGAGCGAGGTCGGATCCATGCCGGCTGGGAGGAGAACAGCGAGGACGACGACGACTACAGCTACTACGATGGCGACCAGTCGGAGGCCACCTATGAGGACGCGGACGGCGACGAGGACGAAGGAGATCCCGAGGAGCCGCTCTACAGCGCCCAGGAGATCGAGGAGGCCGAGACCGCGTTCGCCGCCCAGCAGCGCAGTTTCGAAGAAGCTCGAGATCTACTCCGACGAGTGAAGACCGCCAGGAAGTTCTACCCCGTGGATGAGAACAAGAAGCGAGAAGGACGCGGAGGACAGCGCAAGTTCCAGGGACCTCGAGCTGGATCCCGAGGCTCTGGATCATCGAAAGGACGAGGCCGAGGGAGCGGACAACGACGCGATGTACCACCCCGACGTGATGGAGATCGCTCCCAGGGCCGGCCGCCCCGTAAGGGACCCTGTCTGAAGTGCGGCGGCAATCACGAGACTAAGGATCACCGAGACCGCGGTTCCTCCACCGGCAGCAAAGATCGTGAACGACCTAAGCGAGGTTTCGGAGCCTACGTGTTCTTCGGCGCCGAGCAGGACGCCGAGATGGAGGCGAATCTCATCAGGAACGAGACCTCGCGCCTGGAGCTGGAGACGACGCTCAACAATAAGCCAGTGATCAAGAATCGACCGAAGCTTCCGAAGAAACAGCTCGAGAAGACGATGTACCTGGAGGCGGAGAAATCCATCGAGAGGCGAGGGCAAGTCCATCATGTGAAACTACCGAGCTGGCCAACCCTGGAGAAGCTAGACGACTGGATCCTCATGAGTGTGAAGCAGAGCTCCTCCAAGGGCTTCGGTATTCTGGACATCGGCGCGACCTCCAGCATCATGGGCATCGAGGCTGCCGAGAATCTACGCGATATCATCTATGAGCAGACGGGCAAAAACATCAAGATGGACGTTAGCCAGAAGAGTACCTTTATCTTTGGAGATGGCAACGCCAAGACCTGCACCGGCAAGGCAACCTTCCCTCTTATGATCGCCGGTGTGGACGGCGAGCTCGAGATAAACATCCTCGACGCAGATGCCCCGCTCTTGATCGGAGTGGATGTTTTGAGCCGCCTAGGAGCTGTGATCGACTGCGAGGCGCATTCTGTCTACTTCAAGAAGCTCGGGCGCCGAGCTGAACTGCTCGTCCTTCCGAGCGGTCATCTTGCACTGCCACTTGTTCGACAAGCCGATTTTGGCTTCGTGGCATCTCTCGAGTAGGGGTCCACGCCCTCGACACCCGAGACTGCTACGGTGCCGGAGGGAAAACATGAAAAAGAGCAGCCGATCAAAAGCGAGAACGATAAACCGTCTGCAGTGGTGCCCCAGGAGTTCCACGACGAGGTCCCAGATAATGGAGCCCTACAGGCCCCAGGTACATCATCATCATTTACGAGTACGGGGGCACCATCACCAATTACGCCTACAGCAACATCATCATCATTTACAAGTACGGGGACATCATCAATTACGTCGGGGACATCATCACTTACGTCAGGGACATCATCCGTATCAGCCCCGACTCCATCACCTACGGCATTATCGGGGTTATCTCCAGAGGCCTTCCCTGAGATCCCAGAGTTTCCAGAGCTCCAAACAGAAACATCCCCGTCTCCAAGAGCCATTTTTGGTGCGAACGATTCGAGCTCAGAGCTCCGATTTCAGCAACCAGCTATTCTTCCATATTCGAGCCCTGAGCTCCGACAACATCCAGTTTGTCCTACATATTCGCATGAGCCTCAACCGCGAGGCGAAATGTCGCAAAGCAGAGAGCCAGCAGATCAAGCTGGAGAACGAGGAGATGGATGGCCCATGGGAGCAGGTGGATGTTCGGGCCCCGCTACTGGACTCGGGATCATCGGCGACGACCTTCACGTCGACGTCGGCAAGGCCTACACTACAACGGATGCAGCCGCAGGGGCGACTGATCGCTCATCAGGACGTGAGGGGTCACATCTTCTACACGGTCGAGGGCTCGGAGCTGGACAACAGCATGAAGCGGATGACGGACACCTTCCTGCAGGAGCACCTACCGAACTGGGAGATGTGGTCCAGCAAGCTCCTCCAGCAGTGGACGCAGTGCCGTCGCTGGGGACGAATCATCCAGAAGGTCTTCATCAAGACGATCGACCGTGTGAACTGGAAGCTGGACAGCCTCGGACTACCTGTGCAGTTGCTACCCGAGAGGTACCCGACCTGGCCGGCGGACATCGAGCATCGTGCGAAGATCGAGCCGTGCCAGCCGTGCACGGAGCCGAAGCAGCGCCCCCTGTCCCAGAAGTCAGCAGCCTCAGCAGCCGCGCGCGAGCAGAATCAAGAGCTGCGAGCCACCATCGAGACCGCAAAGTCAGATTTCTTGACCAAGTTTGCGGAGGTGGATGCGTTTGCAGCGCTGAGCTCGGAGCAGATCCACGAGCAGCTCAGCATGGTCACGTTGGTCAACCATCTCAAGCCGCTGTGCAAGATGCGGGGACTGACCCAGACTGGCAAGAAGGAGGAGGTGATCGACAAGATCATCGCGTACATCATCGAGCAGCGCGGCACGGCGGCAGCGACTATCAAGATCAAGAAGGAGACGGAGACCAAGAATATGGAGACGACGGCCATGCCCGTGGGCCCGGCGATCTCAGCTCACTACACTCAGATGTGCCAGCACCCGGACTGCAAGCTACGCCGAGGCATCGCCAAGAACGAGCCGATCGTGAAGGTGAGGCTCTACGGTTGGTGCCACCAGGCGTGTGCGGTCAAGACGAAGGCCTGAGTGAGGTTCAGGCCGAGAGGTCTCGGTGGCGCGGCGACGAGGGCAGGCCGCTGAAGGGCCACCAGCGCCAGGCGATACGGGCAGCTACACATACGACGAGGTCGGCCATTTTCGGAGCTATGTGCGCCCTCGCAACCTTCGGCCGCCTGACGATGGTCGAAGCGTGCACCCACGAGGACTCGAATCTCGGGAAGGTGTGCGACGAGAAGGGCTACCACTACGAGCGGCTCGGCCGCTTCAACGAGAACGACCTCAGCAAGCCGCAGGGCTACCACAAGGCGAAGTTCCTGCTAGACGAGAAGCGCCCGGAGCTCTTCGTCAGTACACCACCCTGCGGTCCATGGTCGATAATGCAGAACGTCAACCAGCGCAACGATCAACAGAAGGAGAACCTTCGCAGGAAGCGGCTCAAGAGCCAGCGGATCTTCGAGAACAACAAGAGGCTCATCGAGCACCAGGTGCTCAACCTGAACGGCTCGGCCCTCGCCGAGCACGACGGGAGGAATAATAAGGTAAAAAAAAAAGAAAATTAGAAAGGAAAAATAACAACAAGCAGAAAAAAACCAACGAACCCAGAAATCAGAAAGATCAAGAAGCAGAAAATGAAAAAGAGGACAAAAAAAACAAAACAAGAAAAAACGAAAATAATAACCAAAAATAATAACCAGAAAGAAGAAGGAAAAGAATAACCAAAAAAAAAAAAGAAAAAAAAGATAAAAAAGAAAACATCGGAAAAAACATAAAATGAGAAACAAAAACGTAAAAAAAACAAGCAAAAGAGAAACAAAAGTTAAAAGAGCACCAAAGAAGCAGCCCCACAACCGTCGGTCGTGGCAGAAGACCTGCTGGAAGGATCTCCACAAGATCCTACCGTACGAGGTGATCGTGGATGGCTGCGCCTGCGGACTACGAGCCCCTGACACGGGCGAGCTCATGAAGAAGCGCTGGAAGTTCCTGACGAATGACAGGAGGATCTGGGTAGCCCTACAACCTCTACAGTGCCGTGGAGGACACTACCACGAGGAGATAGAGAGCAGCTTGAGGACCGAGGCCTCGGGCTCCTACCCCAAGATGCTGTGCCGCCGGATCCTCAGGGCTCTGACCAAGAGCCAGAACCAGAACTACTTCGAGGACGAGGTTGTGAACTGCCTCTGCATGGCAGCTACCCAGCAGCCACCGACAGAGCCTACGCCAGAGGAGGACGAGCCGTCTCTTCCACCACAAGACGGCAAGGAAGCGCACAACCTCACCAACGAGACGGTCAAGAAGCTCGAGAGCTACATCAGATTGGTCCATACCAACCTCGGACACCTACCTCGAGCTCATCTACTACGATACCTTCGCGACCGTGGCGCTCGACCAGAGGTGCTACGTCTGGCCAGAACCTTCAAGTGCGACATCTGTGACGCACATCGACCACCTACTAAACGGCCACCAGCCTCATCAGCAGAGCAGCCCCAAAACGGTCACGAGGTGCTTTTCGACGCTTTCTCGTGGATCCGTCGCAGCACGAACACGAACGTGATGGCGCTGGCGATACTCGACGCCGGCTCGGACATCCTCTACGTGCGGCTGATCGACGAGAAGCCGATCCCGGGTACGACTCGACAAGTTCGTGCCGGCGACCTTCGGCATATCTTTGCTACAAAATGGTTCCCCTGGATGGGGCGCCCGAAGGTCATGCGCTACGACCCTGCCGGCAGCGCCATCTCCGACGAGTTCCGCGAGTGGATCGAGGGCCAGGGAGTCTACTGTCTCCCATGCGCGGCCGACGCCCACTGGCAGATCGGCAAGATCGAGCGCGCCATTGAAGCCTTCAAGGAGGCCCTCGACGCTTTCGACGAGATGGTCTCAGCCGAAGTACCCACCAGTGAGATGTTCGGACTCCAGACAGCGGCCAGGAACGACCTGATCAGGATCGACGGGTTCAGCCCGCTGCAGCGCTACGCGGGACGGACGCCGACTGGGGCGACAGTCAACCTGTCGGACGAGCCGAACAACCTGCCGCTCATCAGTGCCGAGCTGCAGGACGGTACCTTCAGCAGGGACGCCCAGGTACGACGGATGGCGCGGCTGGCTCACATCCAGACCGAGAATTCTGACCGAGTTAAGCGAGCGGAGGCCGCGCGCTTCAGGTCCTTCAAGAAGTACGAGACGGGCGATCTGGTTTTTGTCTACAGGCGGCTCCCACCAGGGGCCTGGCGCAAGAAGGGACAGCCTCGCTCAATGCCTGGGCGAGGACGCTGGTACGGACCTGGACGAGTACTTTGTCACGAGCCAGCGAGCTCGGGACACCGACCTGGTCTACCTGGGACGGTGGTCAATATCACACTGGCTGGCCGCCTCTACCGAGTTGCCCCCGAACAACTTCGACCTGCCACGCCTTCTGAGGAGGCGATGGACTCCCTACGCTCGCGCCGCGAGCAGCCGGGGACCTGGACCTTCGGCGATGTCCAGAAGCAGCTCGACACTAACGAGGTGATCGACTTGTCGAACGAGTCCCCGCCCACTGGCGAGGATTTGGCCGCTGATGACGGTGAATCGGTCAGCGCCCGCACCTTCGAGAGCAACGCGAGCGGACCCTGGGCCATTTCTGAGGACGATGATCTTCCTGTTCCACAAGGAGACCCTCGTAGTCTTGACCCAGGAGGCGGCGGAGGTGGTGGAGCCTTGGCGGCGCCACCCGGACTGGAAGAGCGACCTCTACCTGGACCGCGACCTCCCAAGCGTATGCGGAAGAAGGGTAATCCCTGGAACGAGGCGACCGAGGTCCAGGAACCTCTCATCCAGCCAGCTCAGCCAGAAGTTCCACCAGGCATTCCACAGGAAGACGGCCACGAAGCTGGACTACCCGAAGAAGCTGAGCAGCCCATCGAGGAGGAGATCGTCATGGAAGCCCCTCCCGGCGACGACCAGGAGGAGCGCGCGTCGCAGCGGCCCATCGAGGTGGAGACTGACGATGACCTCGACGATATCTCGGCGCCCGACGTGAACGATAAGCGCCGGATCCGAGAGCCCGGCTCAACCGAGCCCCCGGCTAAGAAGCAGCGGGTCAACGCTGCGACCCAGGAGGCCTTCTCCTACTACCTGCAAGAGGGTAACTTCTACAGCGACTATGCCTACAGTGTCCAGCAGTACGACGATATGAAGGAGAACGACGAACTCATCGTGCTGGACATCCCTGTCAGCAACGAGCATGCGTTCATGGCCTACATGGACGACCCCAGCAACTTCGTGGCATCGCAGGCCCGCAAGGGCCGAGTGGAGGTCTCATTTAAGAAGGCGACGCCTGAGGAGAAGAAGCTGCTACTCGAGGCCCAGCAGAAGGAGTGCACCTCAGTCCTCAGCACGAAGGCCGTCAGGATCCTCAGCCGACAGGGGATCGACCCGGCGCGCCTGCTGCGCTGCCGCTTCGTGCTGACCTGGAAGAAGGATGACCAGGGGAACGTGCTACGAGGCAAAGCCAGACTGGTCGTGCTCGGCTTCAGCGACCCCGACCTGCTGCACCTGCGGACAGAATCACCAGTTGCCTCCAGACGTGCACGTCAACTTCTACTGGCCATGGCAGCTAGACACAAGTGGAAACTGGAGAAGGCCGATGCAGTGACAGCCTTTCTCCAGGGCGAGACGGACGAGGAGAAGAGGAAGATCTACGCGGACCCGCCTAAGGACGTGCGTCAGGCCTTCGGCATGAAAGACGACGAGGTCCTGCAGTTCCTCAAGCCTATGTACGGATTTGTACATGCTCCTCGCAAATGGTGGCTCCATTTCAAGGACACGCTCAAGACGCTGCAGCTGGAAGTGATACAGTGCGAGCCGTGCGTCTGGGTCATTCGAGACGGCACGAAGCTGGTTGGCATGGTTATCCTACACGTCGACGACATGATGATCGCCGGCGACCATCACAACTCGGCATTCCTCAAGAAACGACAGCAGATACAACAGGCCTTCGAGTGGACACCTTGGGAGAGCCGAGCGTTTGTGCAGTGCGGCATCAGTATTCGACAGAATGAGGACTACACCTGCAGTCTCGCACAGGACAGCTACAGCCTGAACGTGGAGCCCATCAAGATACGACGTGGACGCAAGCCCACGGAAGGAGTTTCAGACAAGGAGAGATCAGATCTACGAGGCCGACTTGGTACAGTCGGATGGCGAGCTCAGCAGTCGGCCCCGTGGCTCAGTGCAGAAGTCTCTCTACTTCAAGCGGAGATACCTACGGCGACGGTCTCTACCATCCAGAAGATCAACAAGCTGATCCGCACCATGAATGACACTGCCGACGTGGTCATGCTCATCCCGGCCATCGAGCAGATCGCTGTGGTTGGCTGGGCGATGCTGCCTGGGCCGCTCGTATCACTGGCGAGTCCCAGGGTGGCGAGATGATCGTGCTGGCACCACTGTCTTTCCTGAGTGGCTCGACAGAGACGGTAGCTCCTATCTCATGGAGATCATGCAAACTACCGCGAGTGGCCAGAAGCAGTACGAGTGCGGAGGTTCAGATGATGACAGAGACCCTCGACGAGATCAGCTACGTGCGCCTGTTCATCTACGAGCTGGAGTGCGGCCAAGTGGACTACACCAACAAGCAGCACGTGAACGACGCCATCTCATCCTGCCCTGGCGCACTGGTCACAGACGGTAAGTCGGGCTACGACGCGATCGAGAAGAGCGAGTCAGCTGGTCTCGGCCTACGCGATAAGCGGACGAGCATCGAGTGTCTAGGCATTCGACAGCAGAAGGAGCAGACGGCCCTCCAGATACGCTGGGTCCACAGCGATGCCATGCTAGCCGACGGCCTCACCAAGGATCGAGCCGCCAAGGTCTTGCTGGAGTTCTTCAGGTCAGGTCAGCGCTGGAGACTCGTGGACGACCCCCTGCACCGCAGTGAAAAAAAAGCGCAAAGAAAAAAAAAAAAAAAAAAAGAGAAAAAAAAAAAAAAAAAAAAAAAGAAAAAAAAAAAAAAAAAAAAAAAAAAAAAAAAAAAAAAAAAAAAAAAAAAAAGCAAAAAAAAAAAAAAACAAAAAACAAAAAAAAAAAAAAAAAAAAAAAAAAAAAAAAAAAAAAAAAGAAAAAAAAAAAAAAAAAAAACAAAAAAAAAAAAAAGATAAAAAAAAAAAAAGAAAAAAAAAAAAAAAAAAAAAAAAAAACAAAAAAAAAAAAAAAAAAAGAAAAAAAAAAAAAAAAAAAAAAAAACGAAAAAAAAAAAAAAAAAAAACAAAAAAAAATAAGAAAAAAAAAACCGAGGGCATGGACAAGCTGGACCACGGCAAGCCGTTATCAGCAGATGACGATGAAGCTATGCTGGAGGCCCTGATCTACTTCGCTCGCGACAATCCCTACGAGCAGGAGACCCCTGCCGGAGATATAGCCCTTTGGGGCACTGTGAAGCCTCTCACGCGCTCTGTGCGTTCTGTGAATTCAGTTGCCAGAGGCAGGTCTCGATGCCGTAACATCGATCTTTAGCTTTTGGGCATGAATTCACAGCCCCGAGCCTGCCTCACTAGAGCCTACTTACGACAGATGGCCTCTAGAGGCCGTGCGTGATATAAGCTTCAGGCTCCAAAGGAGCCCCATGTATGTTAGCCAAGCGTTTCCCGGCGAATCGGGTCCCTTAAGACTCCAGGTTTCAGCAAGCCTTGCTTAGTAGGCACTCCGTTTCCCTAGCAACAAGCTGCAACATATAATTCAAACAGAACAGGTTCATCCGAAACCGTTCTGGCTCAAGCCTTTGCAGCGTCTCAGCGACGCTGGACTTCTGGTGTGCGTCTGAGAGACGCAGGACAGCGAACTGCCCGCTGATAAACAGATCCTGTTCATCACCATAGTGCGATCAGCACCGCACAGTCACTGCCCTCATATTCGACCCGTCTTGCGACGAGTTCAACACCGCCAACGGTACCCTCGACACGTTGTCAGAGCAGAGAAGAGAGTAGCATCATTCAGGATTGCTATCAGGGCAGTGGTTCTAAGCGGGACCATTGCAACCAACGCCCCCTCCTGGCCTGGCATCCCCTCCTCGGGAGAGCTCTGTTCTTGGGACCCCCACGCCACAATTTCTTGCCCGGAACCTACCGACGCCCCCCTCCTGGCCTGACATATCCACCTCGAGAGAGCACTGTTCTTGGGACCGCCCAGCCCAGAATTTCTCGCCCGAAACCTACTCACGCGCTCCTCCTCGCCCCCCTCCTGCCCACCCCGGGAGAGCTTTGTCCTCGGGACCCCCCACCCCGCAATTTCTCGCCCGAAACCTACCAACGCCCCACTCCTCACCCCCCTCCGGGCCCAGCATCCACCCCCCACCCCGCAATTTCTCGTCACCTGTTGACGTATTCCATTTCCTCGATCCCCCACCACGTCCGACCCATGCATCGTCCTGCATGGGCATCCCCACCCCGGGAGAGCTCTGCTCTTAGGACTTCCCACCCCAGAATTCCTCGCCCGAAACCTACCAGCGCCCCGTCATCCCTGGCCCACGACACGTCTGTCATGGGACCCCCGAACCCTCGCCCCCCCCCCCGCCTCGACCCATGACCCTGTTCCGGCGGGTTCGAGGCGCACACACCCGACCTCCTGCCTTTTCCGCTCTTCATCTGCGAAGCACTTGTTGCACCTCTGCTTCCCATCCGGACCCTTCGTCGTCCGCTTGGCCAACCAGCTGCTGAAATCCCTTCTTTCGAAAGCGTCCTTGCAAGCTATGCATCTCCACCATCCGCGCGGGAGCTTCGCGCCAGCGACGCAGCGCTTGCACTTGCGGTCTCGATCGGCCACGCCGCCCCACATCCACTTCGAAAAGCATTCACGCCGCTGCACCACCTCGCACACAACGCAGGCCTTCCCGTCCTTCCTCGCCGCAGTGTCCCGTTGTGCAGCCGCAGCGTCTACGCACTGGGTACACGCAATCGACGCTTTGGACACGTTGCGCAACGTGTGAGCCGAAAACTCAGCCTTACTCTTCGACTCCCCACATTGTGAGCATACCACCCGCTTTGCCTCTTCGGCACGGGCCTTCTCCTCCTCTCTCTGCAATCTCTTACAAACCTTGCATGTGGGTTCCTCGTTGAAAATAGTTTCCGCTTTCGCAAATTGATCTAGTAACTTCTGCTCGCCGCAGCGCGAACACTGCAGGTGCTTCTTCAGCTCCTCGCACTCAAGGCATATTCCCCCTTTGCACCGGGCGTTCCCTGCCTTCTCCCATTGGAAGTCTACGAACGCATCCTCATACTTCCGCCCCTCGCATACGTAACACTTTCGCCTCTCGGGACAGTCCACGCAACGCCGTGACGTGAGCTTCGAGCTGTGGTGCTGGGACGCATGGGAAGCATCCTGGCCCTTCCACAGAAAGCATTCCGCGCACTGCCACGGCGTGCCAATGCTCTTCTTGCCTTCCAAGCACACCTTGCACACGCGGCGACCGTCGTCCCGGCTCCACTGCCCGAGCGCGTACTGGTTCTTGTACTTCACCGACGAGCACAGTGCGCACGTCCCTGCAGGCATGAACTCCTTCTCGATTGCCTCCCAGTCCATCGGGTCTCCCCGCAACACCTGTAACAGTAATCCGGGCCCCTTCCGCTCCTTCTGAGTGTACGGCGCACGGTCGAAAGGCCGAAATATCAACATGTCTTCGCGGCGACGCACGCGCGTCAGAGCCACATAACTCGACAACGGCGACGTGCCCCCGCCAATCCTGAGGTCCACGATGACACCCTGCTTAAAAGTCTGGCCCTGTGCTGAATGGGCGGTGACTCCAAACGCTGGGGCCAAGGGGAACTGCCGCCGCTTCACTTTCAGACGCGGGTACGGCCTGCCCTTGTCGACGAACCAATTTTTTTCTGCGGGGTCACTGGGTGCAGGCCCGGCGTCTGCAGCCCCTGTATCGTCCACTTGCACGGAATCACGTTCCCTGCGTCATCGCGACCCTCATCGAAGAGGACAAATATCACTTTCGGCGTCTTCTGCAATATGGTCTCTCCCCCCCGGGAGACGCGACCTGCTCCTTCGTCGCCATCACACACCCATGAGTGCACGGTCCCCACGCGTCCGCGGAGTAGATACTTGTCCTCGCTGCGGTCGATATGATCTGTGAGGGCCACAGGCATTCCCTCCGCGACTGGCAAAAAACCATACAGGTCTCCGCTCTCCTTGTCGTGACGCTGCAGCCAGGCCATCTTTTGGTGTGGGAGATCTGGCCGCTCTCGCAGCGCATCTGGTGTCGGAGTGTCGCGCGCAGTAACGTACACCAGAGGCTTCTCGTGCAGTCGGGCGCATTGCGACGCTCGGAGTTTGTTCACCTCATACTTCACGTCGTTATTCGGGAACACCCCGGGGGCGCACCGGAACTTCGCCGTGTGAATGCGCTCGTCATCTGGACCGTCGATGACGAGACGGCGGCGTTCGCGCTCATGCTTGCACACCGCACATTCCTGTCTGCGCAGTTCCTTCGGGGACATCGCGCGCTGACGGCGTGCTCCGACAGTTTCCTTCTCTGAGACCCCTGCGGCGTCGCACAACGCCCTACATCTCGCGTTCCCACATCCAACCGCACCTTCGAGCCAACTCCCCGGGACACCAGTATCACGCCCGTGCAAAAATCAATGCGTGTCTTCCGTGAGGTCTCCTCTGCGGAACTCCTCCTGCACGGATTTCAGCCAGGCATCGTCGCAGCGCTCGCATTCCACTAGCTCCGTTACCCCCTGCACGCCCTCTTTGCCCCCCCCCCGCAGGAGAGCCTGCCCGTGTAGCACTGGCGGGGGCGAGGTATACTTCCGCGCCGCCGCGATGCGCTCTGCTGGCACGTCTGCAAGGAACCCTCCGTCCGGAGGGGCCATCTGCCAAAAGTCTCCGCTCAGAACGACGTTTAAACCGCCGAAGGGTCGCGTCACTCCGTCCTCCCCGCGCTTCTGGGTCCCAATGTCCCGAATAACGCTGCGAAGTTTCTGGTCCACTTCGGCGAGCAGCCGGGCACTCGCCATGCTGATCTCGTCTATGAACAACCACCTCCACTGCAACACTCGCTTGGCTGTCTCGTACTGCAGTTTCACATCTTCACCCTTCTCGTCACCACGCTTCACGGCGGGGATGCCGCAGGCGTGGTGGATGGTGTCTCCACCGAGCAGCTGCGCCATGACTGCCTGGAGGGCCGTGATCTGAAAATGGACGCCTATCGTCCATTTCATCAAGTCTTCGAACAGCTCCTTCCGCAGAATACGCAGCACGTGCGACTTCCCTGTGCCGGGCCCTCCGTGCATGCACCACCGCAGCGGGTCACCCATGCCCGCGCACCCTCGTGCCTCCCCGTCCAGCTCTTGCATCACCCTCTCTGCTACCTGCTTCACCATGTCGAACTGTTTCGCGTTGACCACGCGTCGGCCTGTGTCCTTGTCAGTCCGATACTCCAGTTTTCTGAGCCACTCTACAATCTCCTGTGATGTCGCCCCTGCCTGAGCCTCCACCTTCCCACTCCTATCCTCCGCAGCCACTCTGTCGGCCATTGACTTCTCCTTGTTGCGCGATGCCCTTGCTGCGGCCTGAACAGCCTCCAGATCAAATTCGACGGCTCTGGGCCACGCGTTTCGCACCTCACTCAGCGACTTTTCGTTTGGGCGCTGACCCCACACCTCCTGGGCTTTGGCCATGCCTGCCTGCGAGTTCTCGTAATGTGTACAGCCACTAAGACCACCTCCCACCCCACCAACCTCTTCTTCACAACTGCTGTCACCGTCGCCGTCGTCCCGCTTCCGACCCCCGACGCGTGACTTCAGAGCCTCGTCCAGCTGGTCGAATCCAACCTCCAATGCTTCGTCGCTCACGTCCTCGTCACTCCGAGCCTCGTCATGCTCCGCATCCCTCGGACGCACGCGATACACGCTCAGGAAGTTCCCAACGTACCGCGCAGCTTCTTCCGATTGCACTCCGCCGTCCAACCACGCAACCATGGCGGCTTCCCACGTTTTCGCGGCCCGTCGCAGTGCGCCTGCGAACGCCACGTGATTATCGGCCTCTGACTGTCGCAACGTCCACGGGTGGAAATAGGACATTACAATTCGCGCTGACCGCTCAGCTTCTCCATGTCGGCTGCGAGGCACCGGTGCCCCGAAAAAGGTTGGCGCCATAGGCCTCTTGTTCCTGGCAAGAACCCACGCGTGTCGCAGGTGCCGGCATCCATCAGTGACCGGGTACGCCACCCAATATTTCCCTGCGCCGCCCGTCACCATGTAATCCACCCCAGGCACTAGCTCTTCCGCCTGCCCCTGACTCCGACCGTTTGCCTTTACTTTTTGCTCCCCTGTCGCCGTCAAGAACGCATGGTGCCTGTCCAGATCGGCGTCAGCGCCCCTGAGACTGGTAGGGTATGACACGAGCACGGGCCTC